GCGTCACCGCAGCGTGCGAGGGCGTCACAGGATCAATGTAAGTGCCCGCCTGTAGGACTCGCGTGTCCCCGCAATACCCGCGTGTGCTTCTGCTGGGGGGTGCTCACCGCAGGGGCGGCCGTCTCCTCTGGAAACTCCTTCCAGTCGGCGTCGCCCTACGCGTCGAACGCGGGATGGGGTCACAGAGTGGGTCGCAGACGCCGGCGCGCACCAGGCGCTCGCCGCCGTGGCGGCGGGCTTCTTCTCCTCCGGAAATTCCTTGATCGACGGCAGCGGCGCGCCGCCGGCCTCCGCCGGCTTGAGGGCCGTGGCGACCTCGGTGGCCGGCTTGAGCGCCGGGTTCTTGATGGCGCCGGTCTCGTCAACGCAGGCCTCCGCGCCAGACGTTGCCGCAGGGATGTCCTTCTTGAGGGCGCCCTCGACGGCGCCGGTGGGGGCCGTCGGTGGGCCGGTCGGGCGCGTAAACTTGGACCAGAAAACGGCGTGGGTGGCGAACATGGCCTTGGCCTTGTCCGAGTCGACCGCGCCCGCGTCGGGCGCCTTTTCCGCGGCCGGGTCCTTCTTGAGGACGTCCTCCGTGCCAGACTTCGCCACGGAGATGTTGACGTTCTTGATGCCGCACGCCTGTGGGCGAGGGAAAGTACGCGCAGGCTTTCAGAGACGGGAGAGGGATGATAACGATCCTGGCGAGCGCACGCGCACCTTCGCTCCGAGGAGCGAAGGCGACACCGACTCGGAGATGACGATCGTGATGCGGCCGTCGTCAGCCGGCACGATTCCGACCTTCGCGAAGGACTTCATCGGCGAAGACTCGCCCGCGACGTTGCCGCCGCCCGCGTCAATGCCGTCCTTGAGCGGGCTGGGCTCGCTCTCGGGCGGGATGCCGACGGCCTTGGCGCCGGCCGGATCGTCGACGGTGAAGCGGGACGCCTCGGGCACGGCGTCGAGCGAAACGCCCGCAAAGTGGACGCCGGCGAGCGAGCCGGCGGGCTCGCCCTCGGACGGGACGTTGCCAGTGCCGGTGCTGGCGGTGCCGGTGCCGCCGGTGCCGGTGCCGATGCCATCCTTGAGCGAGACGGGCTCGGAGGGGATGCCGACGGCGTTACCTCCGTCAGAGTCGACGACGGCCGTGTTGTCCGCCAGAGACGCCTGTCAGCCACAGAACGCGAGAGGGTCGTCTTGCAGGGAAGGCGCAGCGTTGCGTGCGTTGCAGCGGTGCGCGTGTGCATACCCCCTCCCTCAGCCACTGCAAATTAATGCACACCTGCTTGTCAGCAAGCGGCGGCGGAGGAGAGAGCTTGAGCACGAGCTTCTCACCGGCGGCCGGCACGAACTCGAGTTTGCGCATGTTGATCGAATGAATTCCTGCAGAGAGTCAAGAAGCGGTTGAAGGTGGTGTCCCCGATGGGAGGTGCAGGCCAGCGCTCGAGTGGCCCTCGCGGCTGCGGACACAGAGTCTTGGCACTCTCTAGATGTAGCAGAGATGCGAGCAGGCGGTGCGAGTACCCGCGTAAGAGAGGGAGGGCGGTCGGACGGGTTCGCGCGGGACAAGGGTGTGGAATGGGCAGCAGCGGACGCGTCTCGCGGCCTCCTCGATGGCAGCGGCTGTACCTGCGAGCGGGAGTAGGCAGGCGGTGCGAGGCCGAGGGGGGTGCAGCCGCTCGCGCCGCGAGCGAGGGCGCATCGCATGGTAGGGGTGGTGAGGGGGCGGCGGGTTCCGTGAGCAATAGGCGTCGCGGGGGTCTAGGTGTGCAGCTCGCGGCTGCATAGTCGGGCGCAATGCGGCGCGGCAAGCGCGAGCGGACGAGGAAAGTGCTGGCTTTGCCTTACGACTCGCTCTTCCGCGTAGACGTTCACGGAAGATCTTCGAGTCACCGTTCACAGTTGTGCGGTGAATGGCGCTTCCTTGTGTGGAGGTAAACGCCACAGCCCGAGCCCGAATGGCGAAGGAGAATCCCACCCCTATCCAACAAAAGTATTCCGTAGCTCGATCGAGGGGAGATCTTAGAGAGAGAGAGAGAGATTTTAGCTCCCCTACCCGGTCGCGTGCGACGTAGCGGGGGGCCACGACTACGTTTACGAAAACATAAGTAGTCCCGCGAGGTGTCAATTTGGCCGCCCAGTTAGCCCCCTTTTCCCGTCAGGGGTTTTTTCTTGGCAAACCTCGTCATCCTGCTGAACAAGCTCCTCTTGTAGCTCGATCGGTCACACCGCCATCGCCTTCGGAGAGAGGGGGGGCGGCACTGCTCTGGCAGCGTACCAGCGTGCACCTCGATCCTGTACCGTGTTTGTTATGACCCCCCCCAATGAACACACCAGTGAGGGAGGGCGAGACGATCGAGGGGTCCCGTACCATGCGGAATCGACCCTATCCAGTGCTCAAGTGCTCAAGTGTGTGTGTGTGTGTGAGACACACACACACACACACACACACACACACACACACACACACACACACACACACACACACACACACACACACACACACACACACACACACACACACACACACACACACACACACACACACACACACACACACACACACACACACACACACACACACACTCAAGTGCTCGTCACAAGCTTTGGCGGCAGAGCAGATTTCAGGGGCGTTCGAAGTACCGGGTCAAAACCCGTCATGTTGCGTCGGTCTCGACTTGAGTGCCGCTCGACTGGCCGATGAAGAGCGACCCGTACGACGCGCACTTGTCGTCCTCCCTCCTCGCCACATGACGGCCGCCCACCGACACCAACAGTAGCGCTCCGCACGCCTTCGAGGTCAGGTGCGGCCGAGCGACGATCGACTCGTCTCCGATCGCTGGGCGCGGTCACTCTGCGGCCCATCACCCGCCTGCCGATCACCTGTCCGCCTCGCCGCGCGCGGGCCGCTCGCCTGCTCGCCACCGCCGCCGCGCGTCCCCGCGCCGCCACGCTTCCCTGCACCTGACGGCGCTTGAGCTGCGCAGACGGCGCGCTCTGGCAGACAGAGCAGCGGCCGCCCAGGCGGTCGCTGCTCCGCCCCGTCCGAATCCGTCCGCCCGCGCGTGCCGCTGCCGCCGCCGCCGCCGCTCCACCCGGTGCCCGTCGTTTCGCAAGCCTGAGCGGGTCGCCAGACACCCGCGAGAGCCAGCAGCTAGAGCGCCGTCGTAGCCGCAGATCGAGTCGAGGAGCTTGATGTCCACGGTAGCAGTTGTGGAGAGCGGTGGCGCGGTGCGTGTAGAGGCGTCGACTGAGGGCTCCCTTTCGAAACGCGACGGGTACGGCATGACAACTGCCAGTACAGTTTTACGCCGGCCAGCGTGAGAGCACAACAGGGAGCCGGCGACCCGTACGCTTTGCGCGTGGCGACTGGTGGCTGTCTGGAGCTCGTGTGAGCTGGGCCGATGCGTGGCCGAGCCGAGAGGACCAGCGAGCGACCACCTTGGCGATGAAGCTTGGCGGCCGGCGCCTCGTCGCCAGACGTCACAGCGGCGTGGACGTAGGAGTGTGCGGCGACGGTTACCGGCAAATCCGGCCCAGTGTGGCCGGCAGCTGCCTAGCGCTGGCCTGTGGCCGGCGCCGCGGTGGCGGAGAAGGCGTCTCGCCGCCGTGGCGGCGGTCGGCAGGTGCGAGCGTGATGCCATCTTGTTGTATAAAATGAACTCGGGCGCACGGGACGCGGAGAAAAAAGAGAGAGGGGTAGGTGTTCTCTAGGCCCCTAAGGGCCCTACGCGCGGCGTGAGAGCTCGGAAGCGAGCTTTGCACGGCGATCGAGGATGGCACGGTTCACCCCCTTCACCGAAGCGATGGAGATGCGTTCCGCGTGGTGTGACACAAATGAGAGGCGGGAGTGGGGAGGGTACGCGGTGCGGTCAACGCCCGAGCGTTGAGCCTTGCGCGCAAGGCGGTTGATCTTTGCAACTGCTGGCGGCGAGAAGCCGCCGCCGAATGTCTCGTGGAGAAGCAGGTTGAACTTGTTGCGTTTGGTGAAGATCCCATCATGGTAGTGGCCACGCTGTGACTTGACGTAGCCTTGGCCGGTGGTGTGGTCGAACGCCCGTTGACCACGGACGCGGCACAAACGGGGCACAAACGCCAGGCTACAAAGACGGGGAGGCACGTAGTGACGCAGGGGAGTCTAGGCGACGGCGGCGTCCTCCGACGCCGCGGCGAGCCTGACGACCTCGCAAAACCCGGACCGCGCCCTTTCTCTTTTCTTCCTTCGCCGGCCTGCACCACAGCCCTCTCCGTCGCCGGACCGAGGCCCGAAGAAGCCCGAGGCCCGAGGCGCCTCCGAGGCGCCTCCTCTTGCATGCTTGCCGCAGCCTTCGCGACCTCCGCGGCCTCGGGCGTCGCCTCTCAGTGGCCCGTGTCGCGCCGCGGCGTGCTTTTCGCCGCTGTCGCCGCGCCTCTCGCGCCGCTGCGCAGCTCTGCCGCCGTCGACTGCCTTCAGGACTGCCAGTCGAACTGCTTCCGCGTGGCGCCGAAGAGCGGCCGCTACTGTCTCGACTCGTGCGCCGAATACTGCGACCAGCCCGACCGGAGAGACGGTCTCTCTGGAAGCATCTCGAACGACGCCGCCGAGGCGCCGCTGCCCTCCGATGCCTCGCCCCATCTTCCGCCCTCCCCGCGTCACATCGTGCCCTTTCAAAAGAACCAAAAAGAGGGGTGCACGACGCCTCTACGCTGGGGCGCCGGCGCATCGTGCCCTTCCCACCCGCTCAGGTTGGCTGGGCCAGCGCATACGACCCGAAGCGCTTTCTGCCCGGCCAGAGCCCGCAAGGCGTGGTCTACGGCGAGGACAGGCCCGCCCGCGGTCAGATGCTGCACACACACCTGCCCTCGTCTCGGCCTGTGGCGCGCGCGGTGGTCACGCTCCAGCGCCGGGTCGCGTGTGGTGTGCACTCCTCCTCTCTCCGTGCTCGCCTGCCCATGCACGGTGTTGCGGCGCAATCTCCCTCTCTGCAATGCAACTGAACTCGGCACACACGCCTCACAGGCCTCCCGCACTGCCGGATGCGCTCAACCTGGCCCCAACCCTGCGCCGCGCGATTGTCGGTGGCGGCACGCCCAACGGCGGGCCGGCGTCGGTCGAGGCGTTTGGCCCGGCGCGAGGTGACACGAGAACTGAGAACTCACGAGTCCGGGCTTGCCCGCGGGGTTGACACTCGACAGCGCATGCGTACACGCTGGCGCACGTTTGCAATTTTCTTTTAAGAAAGGGCAAAGGAGAGAGAAGTGCATGTAAACTATCGTATGCAAGAGAAGTGCAGTCTGCAGAGGCACCTCACATGCGTCATGCGTCACCGCCTCCGGCACACGGCACATGCGACATGGGATCAAGTGTACATGGGACATCAAGCGCCGACCGAGGTGGAGAGATGCATGGAGAATAAGTCGGTCACGCGCAACGGGCCGCAACCGTTTTGCGCGCCGCGCAACCTCGCATCGTCGCTGTCTTGTCTTGCGCACGCCCCTCCGCTCCCGCCTCGCTGCTTCTGCGCGCCCTCTTGTTCCGCTGCGCAGCGACGCGGCCCTCAGCCTTCCCTCTCTCAGAAGGAACTGGCGACAGATTTGCGGAGGCAGTAGGGGCGACGCTTCTCCATTGCTCCCTCGGCGCCTCACAGCGCGCTGTTCTCGGGGTACTTGTAGAAGGGTGGCGGCAGCGGCTCGGCGGCGAGGAAGGCGCGCATCATCGTGAAGGAGGCGGCCGGCCGGTAGAGTGGCGCGAGGTGGCCGGCGCCGCGGATGGAGACGAAGGTGACCTGCCCGTCGTTCCACGCCATCGAGAAGCCGCCGTGCACCTGTTTACAAACGGGCGGACGGTCCACCCGGCAGACGCGACAGGTCCGCGCCGCTCCGCCGTGCGCGCCTTGCGGCCGCTCGGCTCGAGGCCAAACGGGCGCCACGGCTGCGTGCGCGGCAGGCGGAGTGGCGCCGAGGCCGAGGTGTTGAGCGGCCCGACCGGCGTCCACTGGTCGGCCTCGCCGGTTCCGTTGCTGAGGAAGGGGGCCCAGATGTCCTCGATCGGCGCGGTCTGCAGCCCGCACGCGTCCGAGTCGCCCTCGTAGATGAGGACACGCTTGCCGGCGCCGATTGCGCGCTTGTACACGTGCCCCACAAAGCCCGCGTCCGTCGTGTAGTTCATCCCCTTGCCTACTCGCAGTTTGCGCTGTGTGAGAGCGCGCTGTGGCCGCCGGCGCAGCTCGCTCGCTCACCATTGTCCAGCGCGATGAAGTTGTTATCGGCCGGGATGCCGAGCGCGCGCTTGGTGATGCCGAGCTTGAAGTAGTCGCCCATGGCGGAGCCAAGGCACGGCGCGCCCAGGCCCGTGTCGCCGTCCCCGGGGGTGGGCAGCACCGGAACAGACACGACGTGCTGCCGCCGCCTGTGGCCAAGGGGGCAGCTCACGGCTGCATCGCGGTGGTGACTGTTTGGCCTCTCATCTCGGCGGCGCCTGGAAGCGCTCGAGCCGGAGATCATGCGCCGCGTCGCCTGCAGCACCACGCTGCCCGAGTCCTCCTCGACGGGGCACGCCTCGAAAAGGTTGTACGCGTGGAAGAAGCCCACCTGGCACGGCGGCGGCACGGCGGCGGCAGGTGAGGAGAGGCAGCTCTGCAACGGCGCAGCCCGCGCGTGGAAGGCGCCCACCTCGCGCGCCATCTCCTCGAGGAGCCCGCGGCAGCGGTCTCCGGGCGGGAGCGGCGCCGCCTTGCCCAGGAGCTCGCCCGCCGTGCAGCCGGCCTTGATGCGGCGGTACAGCTCCTCCGACATTTGCGAGTGCCTGCGGTCGTGGGTCGCGGGCGTGCGGCTTGCGGCCCAAAGGGCGACTGTCTCCAGGCTACATCTCGGCTGGGTTCCGCACCCGTGGAAGAACTCGACGTCCCAGTGCGGCCCGGGCAGCGCATTGGGGTAGCGAAAGAACTCGACGTTCTCCAGATTGACGCACCAGTCCACCGGCTTGCCTGGCTGAGGGATGCACGCCGGGAAGCCGTCGCCCACCGCAAAGCCGTAAAAGTTGATCTCCTTGCCCTTCGGGCCGACGATCGGATCGGCGAGCCACGCGTCGGCAAACAGGGGGACGTACACGCCCGCATACGACTCGCCCACAAGCGTCACCGGCTGCTGCGACGCCTCAAACTCGGGAAAGGCGTCGCGGAAAAAGGCGGCGTGGGCCTTGTGGTTGGCGGCCGCCGTCGAGTGGTCGGTCCACGGCCCGCACGAGTAGGGGTCGCCCGCCGGCCCGCCGACGCTGTCCGCGGTGCCGTTTCCCTCGGTGCAGTATGATGCGCCCATCGGCGCCGGTGAGTCTATCTCGCAGAGCGAGGTCAGGTTGGCCCACGTCCACGGGTTGAAGCGCGGCGTGGGCACGCCGGTGGCGCGGTAGGCGGGGGTGGAGTATGAGGCGGCGGTGAGGAGGAAGGGGCCGAACTCCTGGAAGAGGCCGTACGTCGAGGGCGCCCCCGGCCCTCCATTATACCACAAGGCGAGCGGCTTCTCCCTCCAGCCCGGCGCCATTGCGCAGATGTAGTGAAAAAACATCTTGCCGCGGCCAGACGGTGGCGTGCCGGCGTCGAGGAAGCCAGAGTAGTACTCGTACGGGGCGGTGGTGGGGACCCCTGCCCAGTGGGTGGTGGGGCGAGGCTTGGGGTGCTGACATGCGGCGAGAGAGGCGGGGAGGCTGGCAGGTCGCACCGGGCAGCGAGACGGGCATGCGGACGGGCGGGTTCTGCGGGTCGACCGGAGGGCGCCCGTCGACGTGCATCTGACCCGAATAGGGTGATGAGCGGAGCCAGAGCCAGCAGCCGCCGATAGCGAGCACGGCCGCCGCCGCCGAGAGCACGGGGAAGCGGTCGCGCCGCCTGGCGGGCTGCTGCGAGCCGTCGAGGAGCGGGTCCGCGAGCGGCTTTCCGTTGTTCGACGCTCTCGGAGCGGCCATTGCAAGGCACGGGCAGCGGGGCGCTTCGGGCTAGCTTCGGGGCGCGACGGGCGTGTCCCTCAAAGCGATGCTCGGAAGCGCCGAGGTCACGGGCACCTGTTGACGTTTCGCAGACCTCTTCAAATAAATAAAATAACATCGAAGGCTAAGCTCAATAAATAAATAAAACGGATAGGAGATGGGTAAAAAGCAGACTCTTCAAGGCGCGAGACACTGTTTGTTTTGCACTGTTCGTGGATAGGGAGGCGAGCGTCGAAGACCGCGGATACATGTAGCGCCTTGGCGATTAGCGCTACACCACGGTCGTTCAGCTGCTGATTGGTTGGTGATTGTTTCTGTGCGTGAGCTCACAGCAGTTCCTCACACGCCGAGCGGACCCATGAAAGAAGGAGGCCCGCACCGACCGCCCCTGAAAGCGAAGCCCGCGCTCTGCGCGGAAACCGATTCTGAATCCGACCCCAGGGCCTACCTAGCACCTAGGCGGCCCGCCATGAATTGATATTTAGCCGTGTGTGTCCCCGATGGCGACCGAGTCTCAGTGGGCGATCAGCACCTGGAGCGGCGTCCCAGCCTGGGGTCGGACGTAGTCGCACCCCGCCGGGGCCGGACCGTCACAGTGGGTGTGTGGTGGACGTGCCAGCGCGGGCGAGCGGGCGAGCGCAGCGCGGGCGAGCGCCGCCAGCGCGGGCGAGCAGGCGCCGCCAGCGCGCTCGGCCTGTAAGCTACCCCCCACGACGATCTCCGATCTCTAGTATCGCCAGAGAGAGTGCGTGCCCGCATTCACCAGCGTGTTTCAAGAGTCTCGCAGTTTTGATTTTGTTTCCTTGGAGTGCTCGAGTTCTTCATTTCATGTATGTACCTGTGTGTTGTGTTAGAGTTAGTGCCAGTGCGCGCCAGTCCCGTGCGCAGTGAGCAGTGTCGCGGGAGTTTTGTTGCCGGGGTAAAATTCTCTCTATTTCGCCGTCGCGGGAGTCGCTTAGGCGGCTCCCGTGGTGTACCTGTGTTAGTGCCAGTGCGCGCCAGTCCCGTGCCCAGTGTTGTGCGAGTGAGATGTTGTACAAAATTCTTTATATTTCGTGGTGTACCTGTGTTAGTGCCAGTGCGCGCCAGTCCCTTGTGCGAGGGAATTTTCTTGTAAGATTCTTTATTTCATTCTCGCCCCTCCTATACTCTACCATCCTTTTACAGATGTCGTGCTCCGTGACATCGGGCTTGCATCTGCTGGTGGTTCGCTCGGTGCGATGAAGTACGGCAAGTTCCTCAGCCAGACCCAAAGCGCAGGCTCCGACTATATCGACTATAAGTCGCTCAAGAAGGCCCTCAAGGATGGCACCAGTCGCCCCGAGTGGAGGGATCGGCTCTGGGCAGACGTTGCTCGTGTGGACCAAAGTCTGGCCGCGCGAGAGCTCAAGCTGCTTTCGAGAGTGAAGCTCGTCATCGCCGAGGACGCTGCGACGCACAAAGGTGTCAGGCTGCGTCGTCCGGATCGCACGCGTGGGGACGAGTTCCTCTGTGGCGAGTTGCAGGCGAGCGAGCACACGCTCCCACAAGGAGGCAAATAGTTCTCGCAGAGGCTATGGGCAATCAGACATAGACAAGTATTCCCCACCTATTGCTTGTTGCAGGCGCTGCAGCTCGACGCGCAGCTGAGCCTCGTGGCGTGCGTCAAGATCGGCAAGAAGCATGATAAGAAGGCCGTACCGGACGATGCCATTCTGCCGGGCCTCTGCGCACACCTTAGCACGAAGCGCATGCTGCTCCTGCTCCATCACTCGACCCTCCGCTCGGCACATCCTCTCTTGACAACGCTCGCCTCCTCCACAGTCCAGCGCGTCCTGCAATTCGCAGCGCTGCCGCTGGCCAAAGACATGCACGCCACCGTGGATTCCCTCTGGACTTTGGCCGCAGACGCGTTGCACCCGCATGACGCGAGTCAGGCAGCCCCTGCGAAGGAGGGCAATAGGCGACCCTTGTCGTTGGGTGTCCTGTGGTCAATGTCAATCCTGTCCGCGCTTCTTGCAGGGCTTGGCGGCGTCTTTCAGCGGTACATCACAACGCGCGAGCGCTTCGAGAGCGGTTCGCCCTCGAGCGTCGCCATCCTCGGCTGCGTCGCGACGCTTAACGCCGTGATCCTGCTCCCGGCAGCGCTCTGCTGGAGAGCCGACCCTGCAGTCTGGGAGCAGGAGGCCGACCGCGGGCGCGGATGCTGGCCTTTGTCGTCTACGGTCTGCTGCAGCTTGGCCGCATGCTCTCGACCCTGCAATCTGCGACAATGACCCTCGCATACAACGTTGAGATGGTGGGGATGCTGTCGCCCTTTTGTACCGCAGTCGCGGCGCGGCTGGTGCTCAAGGAAGAATTTCCGCCGCTGCTCTTCCCAACCCTGCTCCTGACGCTTAGCGGGACTGGCCTGGTCGTGCTTGGGCAGGGTGCCCTCGCTAGTCACGGCGCCTTCACCTCGCTCGACCTCGCCGGGATGGGCCTGCAGAGCGCTTCTGTGCTGATGGCCACCGCAGTCAGGCTGAGCCACAGACTGAGCGAGGGGCTGCTCAGTAGCTCCGAGCTCATGCTCGCGCAGTTCTCGGTGAGCGCGCTGCCGTCGATGCTCTCTGTTGCTCTGCGGGACCGCAAGTCTCTCCATGCCATCCTTGCCCTTTCGCCGGGCGGTGTGGCCAGCTTCTTTGGCCTGGCCTGGGGTGTCTACCTAACTGCCAACTACCTGCAAATCATGGTCAACCGCACTCTCGGAACAATTCGGCACTCGGCCGCCAGCGGTCTGCGCCTAGTCGCCACTTGTCTCGGCTCCGCCATCCTTCTCCACGAGCTGCCGACGAGCGGGTGCGAGCTCGCTGGCCTCGCGTTGGTGGCACTCGGCGTGGCGCTCTTCTACTCTGCGCAGCTCTATCTTGCCCACCCGGTCGCCCGGAGGCATCTCATCACGGCGTCCACATACAGCGCTCGGCTGGATGAGCTTGGCGAGGAGTCGACGACGCGCAAGCTGCAGGCGATGCCCTCGCGATGGGACTGCCGCGCTGCATCTCGCGATCCCTCGCTCCTGCTAGTTTGACGCCTGGCTGATGGAGCATTCGACCTAGTAACCGTAGCATATCCAAAGCATGCCATCTCGTAATCTCACCGTGTGGGGAGGCCATGTGGCGCAGAGCCGCACGTACACAGGTTGACGTATGCTGTGCCATCTCGCATCTGTCCGGGGAGCCATCTGGAAGAGTTGCGCGCGCAGCTCTACACATGCGTGTCTGAGTCTGTGGTTTGAGCAGCACACAGAGAGAGAAGCTCTGCGGAGGCTGGACGGAGCAAGCAGGTCAGGGGCATTTTTTAAGAGTTCGGAATTCAATTGAGAACGTTTTCGTTTAAACGCCGGCGCCCGAATGCATCCGCCCACGTACCCACGTTCGCAACCCACCGCCACTGTGCAAACCCGAGTGGAGTCGAGAGCCATACCACCCCCCAACAGGCCAGGCCACGCACGAGCTGCTCTCAACTCCCCTCGGCGCGGGTGCTGTCGCCGGTGCGCCAGCCACCAGCACCGTGGGCACACAGCGAGAAGCCACAGGGCGAGAGAGGCGGGGGGGGGGGGGGGGCGCCGGCGTGAAGCCTTCATTCGCCAACCCGCGTCGATTGACGAAGAGAGCTCGGCTGTTCTGAGCGCGTCGCATGATGGCCAATCTCGACAAGCCGCCGCGGAACGAGAGTGAGCCGGCGCCCGCCGCCCCAGAGGAGCACCGCCTTGCTCCGCACAGCGCGCACCGCACGCGTCGCAGCGCTCAGAAGACGGCACCGCCTCGCGCGCTTGCCGTCGGCGCTGCCTCGCTCACCCGCCGCCGGCCGGCGCAGGCGTCTCGTCGATGCACGACTGGACGCAGCGCAACACCGAGTACCCGTCCTCCGACGGCGGCAGCGTCTCGCCCACCGACTCGGTCGGCGCGACTCTCTGGAACTGGGCGAACGGCCGCTCGACTGGCCCGTCTGCGCAGACGACGCCGGCTACGAGCCGCGACGCGAGCGTGGACGGCGGCGGGCAGTTTGCGGGCGGCACCCTCCCCGGGGGTGCCGGAGGCATCCCGTCCGTCGCGTCCAACAGCAGCCTCTGGAACTGGCGCGTTTTCGCTCTCTCTCGCAGCTGTAGCTGTATGACTGGGAGTCGCCACTCATTAACCTGACGGGGCAAACATGTAACATGTACTGTGTGCAGGCGCTCCTCCCTGTCGCGCGAGTCCTCCGTCGCGTCGAGCATGGACGGCGGCGGCGGCATGACTCGCAACTCCTCTGTCGGGATCACGCTGTGGAATTGGGCCAACGGGCGCAGCTCCCCGCCCTCGTCCGAGGCAGGCACACACACACACACCTCACCCACGCGCACCGGGCCTTGCAACTTGAATGCGCGGAGCTCCTGTCTTTTCGACGTGGAGTCGCGAGGGTCGCCCCCCCCCCTTGCCCCGGCACCCCTTGTCCGCGTCTGTGTGGAGAAGCTCACATGATCCTACCTCAGACACTTCCTAGACACTTCCTAGACACTTCCTAGCGGCCTAGACACTTCCTAGCGGCCCGAGCAGGACCTGCCCGCCCGGTTGCTGACCCTCACCCTCACCCTCCACCCCCCCAACCCCCCCAACCCCCAACCCCCCACCCCCCACCCTCCACCCTCCACCCAGGCCTCGTCGCGCGAGCCGTCCGTTACTTAATTAGTTAACGAGTAGTATTAATTAATGTGACCCTCTCTCTCACCGCAGGCTCGTCGCGGGAGCCGTCCGTCAAGGGCGGGAACGCCTTCCTTGCCGGCGGAGGTGGCGGGCCTGGCGTGGACGGGCCGGCACCCTCGCCAAAGGACTACTCCTCCTCGCACGGAGGCATGCCGCGTCCAGGACACGTCCGTGACATGTCCGAGACATGTCCGCAGGACTACTCCTCCTCGCACGGAGGCATGCCGCGCAACTCGTCGGCCTCGCGCCTGTGGGCGTTTGGGCAGGGCGCCGGCCGCTCGCCGACCACGAGCCCGCCCGTCTCGCGCGAGGCGAGCGCGCACGCCGGCAGCGAGCTCCGCGGGCTTGGAGCTATGCGCCTGTCCGTGCCAGGGACGTCGCACGGCACTACCGGCTCGCCGGCCCCGCTTGCCATCCCCGGACGGTCCGTTTCATGCCGCCGCGATTTCTTTTTTCTAGGCACGACCGGCTCGCCGGCGCCGTCGCCTAAGTGAGCCGGCATCGCGCCGCCGCGTAGCGAGGCTGTGGGGTCACTCCCGCGAAACTCGGGAACTAGCCGGGGCAGTCGGAGAAGGGGCAACTCCGTGCACTGACGGTCGGCCGCCAGAAAACACGCCTCCGTGGCTCGGGTTACACCAATCCTCGCTACCCAACGGCCAAAGGATATCCGCGAACCTCGAGAGAGAAAGGATATCCATCTGGAGAAACCTTCCATCTAACCATATGTTGCGAATTGCGTATCGGCGGCTCAGCGGCGGCGCCTGAGCGCGGGAGGGGGCGGGGAGGGTACCCGTCACCGTCTGGTGGTGCGGGGCGACGGGCCCGGCCCGAGGGAGCCGCGTCGAGGCCGACCTCGGGGCGCGAGAGGCCTCCCACGGCCGAACCGCACGCCCCCCGGAACGCGCGGTTCGCCGTTCGTGGGCCGGCGCGTCGGAGACGCGCGCGACGGCGCCCCGCGCCGCTACCCGCAAGCGCAGCCGCACCCAGGCACCGGGTGCACTCATTAGACAGCTTAATGCACATAAAAATAGTGAACAGCGGCGGAAGCGACACCGAGACCGCGCCTCGGAGGGCGCGGAGACACAATTCGGCCCCGGCCCGCGGTCAGGGGGGAGGCTATGGCGGAGGGGAAGGCACGCGTCACGCCCACAGGTGCCATGGGCAGAGCTTAGTGACCTGCTCGCGCACGTACTCTTCAAAGTCCGACATGGAGCGCTCCATCTTCTTCCACGGCGCACCTGCGCGGCGCTGTCGGTCGCCTGCGGCGCCGTCCCGGTTGCCGCCCCACTCGCTGAGGTCCAGATCGAGCAAGTTTGCATCGCTCGCGGCAGTCGCAGCCTGGTAGGTGTCTCCGATCTTCTCCTTTAGAAAGAGCACAATCAGCGCCTTGTCTTTGGCGATGTGTTTGAGATGCTCCGACTCGTCCTCGCGGTTGGCGTGCAGCGCCGCGCGAGGCGCTTCGAAAGGCGAGAGATGAGCGTGAGGCGCAGCTCGAGAAGGCCTCGCTCGAGGCCGCTCGCGAGACCGCTGAGATGCTCCGGACCGAGTTCCAGCGCGGCCTTGAGATGGGGGCCAAGCTCGCGACGGGCCAGTTCGCTGCCGCCTTCGCCTCCGCCCCCGCCCCCGCCCACGCCCAGTGAGCGCAGTCTACTTCTCTCGCCCTCTGCCTGTCCATTACCGCGCGTAGTTCACTGCGTGTGTGCCCTAGAGAAGGGCACAGCCGCGCCGCGATAGCGCGCGCCCCCCTGACCGCGGGCCGGGGCCGAATTGTGTCTCCGCGCCCTCCGAGGCGCGGTCTCGGTGTCGCTTCCGCCGCTGTTCACTATTTTTATGTGCATTAAGCTGTCTAATGAGTGCACCCGGTGCCTGGGTGCGGCTGCGCTTGCGGGTAGCGGCGCGGGGCGCCGTCGCGCGCGTCTCCGACGCGCCGGCCCACGAACGGCGAACCGCGCGTTCCGGGGGGCGTGCGGTTCGGCCGTGGGAGGCCTCTCGCGCCCCGAGGTCGGCCTCGACGCGGCTCCCTCGGGCCGGGCCCGTCGCCCCGCACCACCAGACGGTGACGGGTACCCTCCCCGCCCCCTCCCGCGCTCAGGCGCCGCCGCTGAGCCGCCGATACGCAATTCGCAACATATGGTTAGATGGAGAGAAACCTCGAGAGGGCGGTTACCGACCGAACGCCGAGGCCGCCGGCTTTGACGCCCTTTCCCGGCTGCGATGCAGCTGGACGAGCACCTCGAGCCGCGGCCTCCTCTGCCTGCCGAAGCTACACAGCTGGAGCTGCTTCATGCGCAGATGGCCTCGCTTCAGGCCCGTGTTCGCAAAATGGAGGAGGAGGCGGCGGCGCCGTCGGCAAGTGGCATATTCAGCCTCAAGGAGAACTCGGTTCTCAGCACGGCGGCCGAGGATGCGAGCGCAAAGGAGGGCGACCTGCTCGAGGAGGCGGACGTCTCCAGCGTCTTCAACATGTACGGCTGGTGTCTCGATACCGCCTTCGGAGACGTGCAGGAGTGGGGTGGCGTCAACCTTCTCTCGGCGAGCGGCAAGATCCTGCTGCTTGCGGCGCTCGCCTTCATCCAGCTTACCTTTGCCTTTGGCGTGTACGACGTCTCGATGCTGTTCAAGCTGCGCGACGACACGAACGCCTTCAAGCCCTTCGTCGACAACTCGCTCTTCTACGCCGACGCGGCCACGGACGGGCGCGTGCCGATCATCAACATCTACTGCTCCGCCTTCTCGCTCCTCCTCCTCTCCCTGCTCGTACGGCAAGAGACGCAAGGCACCATCCTCTCGATGTGCCCCCTCGAGCCCATCCTGCTTCCCCCGCCGCCCGCGCAGCGGTACAAGCCGACCGCCCCGCTGACCGCCGCCGGCATGGCGGTGCGCGCGGTGTTCGCGATCGTGCTGCAGGTCTTTTGGAGCATCCGGATGTGCATGCTGCCTGGGATGTGCCTCATTGCAACTTCGCTCATCAACGCGCAAGCGGACAACGCCCTCGACATCGTCCTCAACTCGGCGGCCGTCTAGACACCTCCGAGACACCTCCGAGACACCTCCGAGACACCTCCGAGACACCTCCGAGACACCTGCGAGACGCCTCCGAGACACCTCCGAGACACCTGCGAGACACCTCCGAGACACCTCCGAGACACCTCCGAGACACCTCCGAGACACCTCCGAGACACCTCCGAGACACCTCCGAGACACCTCCGAGACACCTCCGAGACACCTCCGAGACACCTGCGAGACACCGTCCTCAACTCGGCCGCCTGTTCACAGCTTGAGCTGCCGCTCCTGTACAGCTCAGAGCTGTGAACAGGCCGCCGTCGCGTTTATCCTCGAGCTGGACGAGTTGCTGTACGAGCAGATCGTGCCGCTCCAGTCGCGCGCTGCCTACGAGGAGCGGCAGAGCAACTCGCCCCGCGCCTCGTCCCCCATCGCGTCGCGGCGCGGCCGCACGCTGGTTGGCCTCCAGGAACCTTCTAGGAGCCTTCTAGGAGCCTTCTAGGAGCCTTCTAGGCGCGGCCGCACGCTGGTTCGCTTCCAGGAACCTTCTAGGAACCTTCTAGGAGCCTTCTAGGAGCCTTCTAGGCGCGGCCGCACGCTGGTTGGCTTCTACTCGAACGCGGTCCTCGCCCTCGATTTTGCGATCGGCCTCTGCTGCTACCTCGCGTCTGCCGGGGACGGCGGCAAGGAGAGCCGGCTCGTGCCGGGGCTCTACCCAAGCAGTGAGCCCGACTACCCGCTGGAGTACACCTACCTCAAGTACCACGTCCTCCTCCGCGCCCTCCTCCTCGCGGCCTGGAGGGGACCCTTCCGGGACCCTTCCGCGACCCTTCCTGGACCCTTCTAGGCGCCCTCCTCCTCGCGGCCTGCGAGATGCACGTCAACTACGGTCCCCGCCGCGAGGTGCGGGCGCTGTGGGCCGACGAGTTCAGGGCGTCGCTCTCGCTCTGCTCCGCCGCGCTCGCAGGGCGCGTCGGACTCCTGTACGGCATGGCTGTGAACAGCGTCTCTTCACACCTCCGGCTGTGAACAGGCGCGTCCTCCTGTACGGCATGGCTGTGCTCGGCTTTGCGTGCGCCGTCTACACGATCGGCCAGGCCGCGCTGCTGCAGTCGTTGGGGGGAGCCTTCTCGGACCCTTCTCGGAACCGTCTCGGAACCTTCTAGGCCGCGCTGCTGCAGTCGTTGGGGGGAGCCTTCTCGGACCCTTCTCGGAACCGTCTCGGAACCTTCTAGGCCGCGCTGCTGCAGTCGTGGGGGGAGCCTTCTCGGAGCCTTCTCGGAACCGTCTCGGAACCTTCTAGGCCGCGCTGCTGCAGTCGTCGGGGGGAGCCTTCTCGGAGCCTTGTCGGAACCGTCTCGGAACCTTCTAGGCCGCGCTGCTGCAGTCGTGGGGGGAGCCTTCTCGGACCCTTCTCGGACCCTTCTCGGAACCTTCTAGGCCGCGCTGCTGCAGTCGTGGGGGGGCCTTCTCGGACCCTTCTCGGAACCGTCTCGGAACCTTCTAGGCCGCGCTGCTGCAGTCGTGGGGGAGCCTTCTCGGAGCCTTCTCGGAACCGTCTCGGAACCTTCTAGGCCGCGCTGCTGCAGTCGTCGGGGGGAGCCTTCTCGGAGCCTTCTCGGAACCGTCTAGGAACCTTCTAGGCCGCGCTGCTGCAGTCGTGGGGGGAGCAGTCCCTCGGGGGGGGTCTGGTCGAGTTCGTGCCTGCCATCGGACAGTGCGTCGACCAGGCCTTTGACCCGTCCAGTGCGGACCCGAACGCGCCGCTCTGCGGCGCCCTCTCGCCGTCGTGCGGCGCGGAGCTGTACCCGCGCGGCAACGCCTCCAGCTACGCGGACTTTGAGGTTGCGTGCAAGGACCTGCACAACAGCGAGCCCTTCTACTCCCGCCTCCAGAACTTCATCGCGGCTTCGCGGACGTGTATCCCCGAGCTGATGCGAGATATAGCCGAGATATAGCCGAGATACTGCCGAGATACAGTCGCGGACGTGCATCCCCGAGCTGGTGCGAGATATAGCCGAGATATAGCCGAGATACTGCCGAGATACAGTCGCGGACGTGCATCCCCGAGCTGGTGCGAGATATAGCCGAGATATAGCCGAGATACTGCCGAGATACAGTCGCGGACGTGCATCCCCGAGCTGATGCGAGATATAGCCGAGATATAGCCGAGATACTGCCGAGATACAGTCGCGGACGTGCATCCCCGAGCTGATGCGAGATATAGCCGAGATATAGCCGAGATACTGCCGAGATACAGTCGCGGACGTGCATCCCCGAGCTGATGCGAGTTGCAGCCGAGATGCAGCCGAGATGCAGCCGAGGTATCAGCGAGATGTAGCCGAGGTATTCCCCACACGGAGACGAACCTTCTCGGAACTGTCTAGGCGCGCCTTGTGGGCCGACGAGCTGCGCGTGCCATCGCCGCTCTGCGGCGAGGGGGGCGGCGGCCCGCCGCTGTAGTCCGGCGGCGAGGGAGGCAGCGACGGCGGCTCCCTGCCGCACATATCGGTGTCGAGGGACGCAGCGACGGTGGCGGCCCATCGCCGCCATCCGGCCCGTCGCTGCCATCCGTCGGTGCTGGCCCCGGGTGGATCTCGGGTAGATCTCGGGTGGATCTCCGGTAGATCTCGGGTGGATCTCGGGTGGATGTCGGGCGGGAGGTGACCATCGCCGCTCGGCCAAAGGAGAGCTCGTCCGTCCGGAGACTTCCTGTACACTTCCTCTCTCTCCTTCCTCTCCGAGTCTGATAGCACCGCCGGTGCGGTGTGGCAACTTCCGCTTGTGAGGTAGGAGGCCGCTCGCGGTCTCCGGAGGCGGCTAGAGTTAGGGTAGGGTGATGTGCTCGACCACGCAGAGTCGTGAGGTGGCTCGTACGGTACGGCATGCCTGAGTGTGCGAGCGCAGCAGCTCGAGCGACAGTGTGCGTTTCTGTGTCTGGAGTTGCATGGTACTCGCGACTCGCGTCTCGCGAGTAGTGTCAAACCGGTGCCTTGGACCTTGGTCTTGGTCGTTCGGTTCCGCACCCATGACTGTACGGCAATCGAGGCTGCCTTCCCCACTACCTGCAGTTCACTCGTCGCCTCTGCCCTCTCCGGCGAGCCCTCCTCTCTATTTCTTTCGGAAGGGCTGCCAGCCTTTCGACGTCGGGGCAGTGACTGTCGGGACGGGCGCGCTGGACCAAGGCGGGCTCGCCGCGTTATAAAGAAGAAAACGCCCGAGGCATCAACACAGAGCCTGCTGGCACCCTTTCGCCCTTCTCATCACTGCCCCGGCGCCCACGCCTCGATCTTCTTGGGCAGCAGCCGAGCTGGTCCTGCAGGTCGCCGTGGCCCGACTTGCCAAAGCCTCCCCAGCCCCAGCTCCAGACAGCGCCGTTGGCGGTGAGGGCGAGGCTGTGAGCCAATCCAGCCGACACAGCGACGACGCGCTGCCCCGCCAAGGCCTCGACCTTCTTCGGCTGCCGCTGCTCCTGCCCGTCGCCGTGGCCCAGCTGGCCGTCGCCTCCAAAGCCCCAGCTCCAGAGGGCGCCGTCGCGCGTCGGCGGAGAAGCTACTCGCATAATGTGGGTAAACGAAAAAAGTAGCGCGCAATTCGTCTACGTACGGCTTAGTGTGTGGTTGGGGTGGCCTCAGGCATCCCCAAGGGAGCCTCTGCGGTGCCACATAAGCAGCTGAGTGATTGTCGAGACTTTAAAGGATTCGTTTGAAGAAACGCAAACAAGACAAACGGTACTATGGTCACCAGTAAACGAAAATTCGACTTTGAGGGATCATATCTCAAAAGGCTGGGTGAGAGCATAGCATTATTGTTGCATATTATACCACATAAGGTCAAACTTGACCCCAGAAGCATCAAGAACCCGATGCTCCGGCTCGACTGTGCCGGCACACTGCCTCCTCGCGCACGCTGCGCTCGCAGGCCGTTGCGGCCCGTGGTGCACCAGAGAGAGAGGTCGACGCGTTGCCCCCGCCGGCGACCCCGCGCGGCTCAGGCCAGCCAGAAGGTGTGTGGTGACGGCACCGTGGCAGGAGTGCGGAGAAGAGCTCGCCGAACGCGAGCAGCAGATGGCCAAAGTGTGCCAGCGCGAGAGCCTCGCGAGCGGGCGCAGAAGGAGCTCGCCGTGACACGATGCCGGGCGGTGGTGGTGCTCTGGCGACTGTGCACAGTGGGCAAAGTCAGGCTGCAACAGGGCAGCACGTTGGTAGTGCCCTGCTGCAGCCTGGCCTGACATGCACAGGGCGAACAGAGGCGGTACTATCGTCCGGCGCTCGTCACCGAATCTGGGCGAACTTCGACCGCCGCCACAGCTCACCACGAGCACGCAGCGACAAAATGTTGACTGTATGGAAGTCGAGGCTGGTCCATAGGAAGAGGCTGCCGTGCGAGCCGGCAGCTGGCTGGCTCGTCGTGGACTGCCGCGGCGACTTTTTTCGCTGTCTTTCTTGATAGTACCGAATACGGTACTTTCGTTTACCCACACTCTGCGAGTAAGTGCCTCGCCACCCTCGCAGGAGTCGCTTAGGCGGCTCCCGTGGTGTACCTGTGTTAGTGCCAGTGCGCGCCAGTCCCGTGCCCAGTGTTGTGCGAGGGAGTTTTGTTGTAAAATTCTCACCAAGTAAAACAGGTAAACATCGGGAAAAATAACATCGAAGAAGGCTCCAAGTGCTCCAAGAAGGCTTAGCTCAAAAAGTAAAAATCAGGGGCCTGCGGCGGGCTGGGGACCCCGTCTCCCCCGCGACCGCCTGCGTCGCGCTGCAGGCTCGGGGTCAGACGTGCGGTGGGGAGGGTGGCCTCGCAGAGATCTACCGCTACACAGGAGAGTGTGGGGGAGCCCGTAGTGGGTGCCTTGAGCGCATCAACCGCTTCCTTCATCGCTGCATCAGACTCCGCCTTTGCGGCAGCGGCCGGCGGAGAGGCAAGGACTGGCGGCTAGCCTCGCGGCGGGCCTAGCAGCTCTTAAGCAGCGTCCACCGACGCTTCCGCCGCCGTCGACAGACACGCGGGAGTGTGCCAGCAGAGGCGGCAGTGGAGGTGGTTGCAGCGGGTTCGGAGGTGGAGATGGTGGCAGCACGGGCGGAGGCCGGGACGGGGAGTGGAGCCGCCCTTGGCGCGGCGAGTGGGGCGCGCGTGGCGGCGACGGTGGCGATGGTAATCGCGGCGACCGGGAAGGCCGGGCCGGCGGGCCGAGATACCGTAGCGGAGGAAGTTGGAGCGGAAGCATCCCGGAGCCGAGTCGTTTCGGCCGTGAGGGTGGGCATCCGCCGCTACCACAGCAGCCACAGCAGCCGCCGCCGCCGCCGCCGCCGCCACGCCCTGGCGGTCTGCGCAGCCTAGGTAAAAGGTCGCGCTCCCTATCGAGCTCCTCGATGCAACCCGGGCTGCTACCGCCACCGAGGCTTGATGGTCGCCCCCCGCCTCCGCCTCCCGAAGCCGGGCAGCACCAGCAGTTCTCCGTTCAAGACTCCGTTCGCCCGGGCGATTGCTTTCGCTTGGGCGATTGGATCTGCAACTCGTGCAACAACCACAACTATTCTAGCAGGATGGCGTGCAACCGCTGCAAGCAGCCAAAGGGCGGAGGTAGCGGCAGAGGCAAGGGGAGAGGCAAGGGCGGGCCCGGCGGGGGCAGGGGCGGTGGAACGGCAGGCGGTTCTGGACCATTTTTTTGGCCTTGATCGTCTGTGACACTGTGACTGTGTGGCGACAGACACAGTCGAGACTGGACTCAGGAGTATCTGCTGCTCCTCACGCGTCAAAGCAGTAGGGGCTGGCATCACCGGCCGCCGCCGAGTCCCGACCGACCGCGAGTCATAGCCGGGAGTCCCGAGTGCCGCCGAGACGCGACGGGAGAGATCGGTCGCGGGTCGGTCGTATCGCGATGTGTAGAGAGAAGGGACCGTAGTTGTCTGTTTTATACGCTTGCTCTTCTCACTACGGGTTGTACGCAAACTCGGCAAACACGGAGCGCACGCGCGGCGGCGGGTGGGGGCCTGGCGCAGCGGCGGGTCCGGCGCCATCTTTGGGGCCAAGTGGGAGCTGGCCACGCCCGGCGCTCCGGAGGGGGGGAGGGGCACGGTTCTCGCGGCCCGGCAGCGCTGGAGGGGGGAGCGGCGGAGGCAGCGGCAACGAGGGGTTCAGAGCCGCGGCGACAGCAGCGGAGGGGGCGGAGATGGAAGCCGCGGAGGCGGCGGCGGCGGAAGCGGCGGCCGCGGAGGAGGGTGCGGCGGCGGGGGCGGCGTTGGCTGCGGTGGCGGAAAGGGCGGGTGCGGAAGAAGGGGTGGCGGCGACGGGTGCGGCACTTGGCGCCAGCGCGGCGCGCGGCCGCTTCTTGTCGAGCTTCTTTGCGGCGGGACGCGGCGGGCGGCGGCGGCGGGAGGATAGCGGGCGCTCGTCCTCCTCCGACGAGTCTCCTATTCACAGGCCGTTGGTGAGAGGAGCCGCCGAATGCCGCGGCCGCCCAGAGGTCGGACCAGGAGACGCCTCCGCCGGAAGCGGTGGAGAGAACGGCGGCGGCGGCAGAGGAAGAATAGGGGGAGGCGGAGGAGGCGGCGGCGGAGGCGGCGGAGGCGGCGGAGGCGGCGGAGGCGGCGGAGGAAACGGGGACTGCGGCGGAAGTGGCGGCGGCGGAGGCGGAGGCGGACGGTCTCAGTGGCGGTGGCAGCCTGGGAGCGAAATCGTCGTCGTCGCCACCGCCTCGCACCGCCGCCGCCTTCGCGCCCGCCATCGGCTTCCGATCGCCGCGAGCTTCCCGCGACGTCCTCGCCCGCGCAACCCTCGCGGCGAGCGGCCTGCCCTCCTCCTCGTCCTCGCCCTCGTCCTCCTCGTCGTCGCTCGACATGTCCTCCGCCAGCATCGAGAGCGGCGGCGCCAGGGGCATCCCAAGCCACGAGGCGCCTCGCTCGCGCTTGAAGAGCATCAGCTTCTTGAGCGGGTGGGCATACAGCCACCCTCGCGACTTGTCCTCCTCCGCTGGGCACCACTCGCGCGCCTCCGCCAGCAGTTGGACCAAATCGTCACTCAAGCGGAGCGGGCGGCCGGCGGCGAGAGGTGGCTTCGCGGCCTTCGGGAACGGCACGCCGTCACCGCGCACGAGCGAGCGGACGGCGCGCATGGTGCGCTTCTGGTTCGTGCCAGAAACGCCCTCCGCCGCCAAATACTCCTCCATCTCTTGCAGCCAGCCAACCTCCTCCGCCGCCTCCGCCGCCTCCGCCTCCTCCGCCTCCTCCGCCGCCTCCGCCGCCTCCGCCGCCTCCACCGCCTCCGCCGCCTCCACCCGCTCCGCCGCCGCCTCTGCCCTCGGCGCCGGCACCGCCGCCGCTGCGTGCTGCACCTGCTGTCCCTGATGCCCTAGAGATGGCTGCAGCCGCGGCGGAAGTGGTTGCACCGACGGCGGCCGCTGCTGCTGCTGCTGCTGCCACTGCTGCTGCGGCGGCGGCAGGGGAAACGCCGGCTGCTGCGGCGACGCCATCGCAAGAGGAAAAGCCTGACCCAAAGGGAAAGACGGAGGGGGCGGCTGGTGCGGCGGCGGCTGCGGCTGCGGCTGCGCTTGCGGTCGCGGCAGCTGCGGGGGCGGCCGCGAGTTCCATGCTTTCTGCCAACGCTGTTGTTGATGTTGCTGCTGCCACTGCTGCCCCTGCTGCTGCTGCTGCTGCTGCTGCCGCGGCGGCGGCGGCAGGGGAAGCGTCGGTTGCTGTGGCGACTGCCACCGCTGCTGCTGCTGCTGCGGCTGGGGGCGCGTCCCAGGACTCGCCTGGTGCTTCGGCGCGTACGGCTGCTGCTGCTGCTGCCGCAGCAGCAGCTGCTGCGGCTGTTGCTGTTGCTGCGGCGGCGGCGGCTGCTGGAGCGGCGGCTGAGGCAGCCTCCCGCTGTAGTTTGGCGGCGGTGCGTGCGACTGCTGTCCCGCGCCGTTTGCGTGAGGCGGCGGGCGGTGCCAAGGCTCGCTGCCTGCTGCGCGGTGCTGCAGCGGGTGCTGGAGCGGCGTGAGGTTGGCGGGAGGCGGCCCGGTGGAGCAAGAGACGCTTGGCTGCGGTGACCGCTGGTGAGGTGGCGGACGCGGCGATTGATTGTGCGGATGCAGGCGGCCACCCGCAGACCCGCAGCGAGGCGGATCAGCACGCCTGTGGGGCGGCTGCTGGTGCGGCGGCGGCGGCTGCTGGTGCGGCGGCGGCGGCGGCGGCGGCGGCGCCGGCGCTGGCCCGATCGGCGCTTGCCGCAGGATCCTCAGCACATCCTCTCCGGAGCGCCGCATGGACCAACAGGTCCGCACCGGCGTCGAAGAGGCGCGAAAAAAGAAAATACAAGCCGTGCGTTGTGTGTGTGTGTGATGTGCGGTTGATGACTGCACTCCAAGTGCTCCAAGTGCACCAAGGATCAAGATCATCCAGCCCGTGCGCTTACGGCCCTCACTCCGAGATAGGTATGGCGTGGTGCTGGGCACGGTCGGTACATGACGACGAGAGGCGGTTATCACTGGTGGGCTGGGTGTGCAGCAGCAGCGCTCAAAAAGAGGCAAAAAAAGCGGCTGCTCGACTTGGACTGTCAGCTCTCTCGACACACCGTCCTCGGCCTCGCTGAAAAGCTGGCTGGTGGTCGCGCGCAGCGCGTCGGCGCCACTCCGACTGGTCGGGCACCTCGGCTGGGTCCATCAGCACGAGGCCCGCCCCGTCGGGGAGCCCCGCGGGCGCATGGGCGGCCGGCGCGAGCGGAGGACGCGGGCCGAGATCTCGCTGTCTTCGCACGAAAATCACAAGGCGCCAAGGGGGGGGTGGAGCCTCGGTACCCTAGAGCGGGGGGTCTTGCTTGCTCCACACCGAGCGCCCACGGTCCGGACCGGCGTGTCCACCGAGGGTCGGCTTGCACAAGGTCTGAGCCGCGGGCGCTCGGCGCCAAGTGCAGTTTGTCACGCTCGCACTGGAGCGGGTCACAATGGGAAACCCTCGTTTCCTATGTACTCGGTCCCCCAACGGAAGAGCCTCAGGCCTCGCTCCTATTGGAACTGGCCAACATCAGATTTGCCTCGTGCGTCCCTTTTTGAGGCGGAAAGCTATTTTCTTTTGGGTCCTGTGGGCACCCTAACTACGCCCTTAAGAGAAGCGGGCAAGCGGCCTCGTTCACAACTCTCAAGAACCACCTTAAGATCGAAAGTACACATCGGAGGTGGCTGAGAACCCAGTGTGCCAAGAGTGGTGCTCTTGGGAAGAGGTTCCTCCTTTCCGCTCCCCCCCCGCAAGGCGCGAGACACACGTCAATTCATGTTCGAACGGCCTCCGGGATTCAAACAAAAAATAGGGCCCCCCTCTCGCAACCCCTCCGACCCCCCGGGACCCGTGGGCGTCGAAGAGGCGCTCTCGGGGGGCCGTTCTGAGTTCATGCTACCACGAAGCACACTGTGCTGCGTCAAAGCACCGGCCCCGAGTCCGATCGATCGACCCTATCCAGTGCTCAAGTGATTGGTTGATGGGAAGGCGAAACACAGTCCGACCAACGACTGGGACACCAACGCGGTATGGGTGGACGCAAGACGGGCGATGACGGTCACACAGGAGCGACACACAGAACCACAAGACAAGTGCTCAAGATATGGATTGATTGATTGATGGGAAGGCGAAACACAGTCCGACCAACGACTGGGACACCAACGCGGTATGGGTGGACGCTAGACGGGCGATGACGGTCACACAGATATGGACTCTTGGACTGTTCACACCGATTTGGGCGCCGGCATCTCTTGTTATACCAAGCGCTGGCATCTCTCTCTCGGCAGCCTCCGAATGTGCACCTGTGTGCGCCTGTTTCTGCTCGGCCTGCTTGCGGGGCTCGCGACCGCCGAGAGCGGCCCGACTCGCATCGCGGGCGACGCACTCGGCTCGGACTCGATCAAGCACGCCTGCATCGACCACGACGGGCGCTCGACGTTGGCGGCGCGCTCGGCGCTGCGCGGCCTTGAGACGGCGGCTGAGGACACCTCCCAGCCAGCGTGCGGCGCCATCCGCGACATGCTGGGCATCCCGGCCGACGTCCAGCGCACGATCTTCAACCGCGGCAGCCTCGGCGGGCCGCGCAAGACCAGTTCCGCCTTTGACGGTTGCCGAGGAGGTGACCGTGTGGAGAAGTTGGTGAGCGTCGAACTCGCGGGCTACGGCGCGGCCGGATCGAGCGCACATCACGTGCCGAACGCCTCCGCGTCGCTCGGCAGCGACGCGTGCGCGGAGGCGGCCCACAAGGAGGCGTGCATCATGAACGAGTGCGCTACTAGCGAGTCTGGCGACGCAAACGTGCGCCGCAAGGCCAACAAGTTGAGCGAGTTCTCGCTCGAGGGCGATTCGGCGCACGCGTGGGACGAGGGCGTCGCCCTCCACGCCGGCTTGCTCGAGCCACCCCCCGGTTCCGACCACAACTTTCTCTACCCGCTGGCGGAGGCGCTGCGCGCCTCTGGCATCTGCCGCGGTGGCGGGACTTTGGGGCAGTCATGCCCGACCACCGAGATCGCGCAGGGCGAGAAGCTGTTCCGGACCGGCGCGAGCGACTCCGTGCGCGCCATCGTCGACGACGACGCCACTCCTGGCCAGCCCTCCCTCCGCGAGTGGTGGTGGTGCTGCGCCCCTGCGGCGGTGCTGCTACTCCAAGCGTGCGGCGCCTGCTGGCTGCTGCTAGGGCAGCGGGCGCCGCGCTCCGGTGCGGCCTCGGGGCAGCGGGCCAGCAAGGCGGTCCGTCCTCGGCTGAGCAAGAGTCGCGTCTCGGTGCCCTTCCTGCTGCTCCTCTCCGCCGTCGCCTCGACGGCGTCCTCGCTCGTGAGCTGCTCGCCGCTTCTCATGCCCGCAATCGTGCTCATCCTCCTCGCCATCGCCTGCGGCGCCATCGGCACGGTGATGAACTCAAAGGCCCGAAGACGGCCCGACCGCCCGACCGACCCGAAGACGGCCCCAACCGGCGTCACCACAAACGCGCCAGCTCTCAAGCCGGTCACCGAAGACGCGCCGGCTCTCGAGCCGGTCACCGCCGGCGGCGCGCCGCTGCCGTCGATCAAGGAGCTTCCAGCGGCGAGCGCCGCGGCGTCTGCCAACCCACTCCTTCACTTGCACCCCGCTTTCATTGCACGTAGGGCGACGCCGACTGGACCGTCTCGGCCAAGGAGTCTCCGCCAGCGGAGAAGCTCGCCCCGGCGGTGAGCGCCTCGCACGCTGTGGTGGCAACGCAGAGCTTCAACTATTGACGCACCCACCGCTTGCGCGTGCGCAGGGCATCCCCGACAGGACCACCCCGTCGAACCCGCGCCGCAAGAAGGGGCACAAGGGCGCGTCCGCCCCGATCGTCCGCACCAAGAGCATCGCCCCGGTCGGCGGCAACAACCGGTTCGGGGCCCTGATCGGAATGGACGGCAACGAGGGCATCCTCGGCGGCACCGGCAAGGTGCCCCGCGGCTCCACGCCGTCGACCACAGACTCGGTGCTCGCCGCCTGCATACATGCGGCCTCCTCCCCCGCTCGCCGCTCAACCGCCAGTCTCCCGCCCTCCTGTTCAGGGCGCGACGGCCAACGTCGAGACGACCACGATTACCACGCCGGAGGGCTCCGTCTCTGCCTCCGGCTGGTTCTCTTGGCCCAAGTTCTGCCCGTCCTACTTGCTCCGCCTCTTTGGCATCCTCGCGCTGCTCTGCCTCGGAACCGCGTTTGCGCTCTCCTCGTACTCTGCCACCTCCGCGCTTCTCTCCTCGCGGTGGCACGAGTCCCCGACTTCCTTTCCCGCAGTCACAACGCCGATCGCGCCGGCATCGCTTAACGGCTTCTGCGAGATTGGCGGCGACGACACCAGCAGCTCGTTTGCAGCCATCGCCTCTTCGGACAGCGTGCCCGCCGACCACCCGGTGCTTGCTCGCTCGTGCTTGCTAGTACCCGCACCGCGCCAGCTCGTGACCCACAGCCCGCGCGCTGTTCAGGGCGGGCACGACGAGGGGCGCTTGTTGGAAGCACTGATGGACGTCGTCAACGAGGCGGTGGGCGAGCCGTTGCACCTGATTGGCGAGCCGCCGGCGTCCATCATCAAGGACGTTTACGGGAAGCAGCCGGTGAGCGCCCCTCGGCTGTTTCTGTGTGCGAGCCGTTAGCCCGCTGACGGATTGCCTGTGTGTTTGCGTGTAGGGCGAGGCCGACTTGGAGACCGTCCTAGCCTCGCGCAACAGCACGGAGCGCAAGGGCGAGCCCGAGATTGACTTTGTCGGTCCCGTCTACAGCAACAGGACGGGGATCATCGCTCGGGGGCGCGACACCGTCCTGCCCGTGAACGACACGTCGCCCAAGTTGCGGCCCGCCGACGCTGGGAAGCCCGGGATGGTGCGGAAGCTTGTTGAGGCTGGCCTCGCTGGGGCCTCCGTGCTGCTCGGGCGAGCCGGCATGAAAATGACCGCCTCACTCGTCTGGCGCGAGAAGGCGACCGACGCGCTCGTCCGCATGAGCGCCGCCGCGCTGCTCGTCGGCAAAGCCGCCGCGGCTCCTCCGCTTCTACCCAACCCGCCACCGCTGCCGCCGCCCTCTCCGCCGCCCCCACCACCACTCCTCGACCAAACCCCATCCGCAGACGGCCGCGTGGCTCGGGCTGGCTCGGGCGAGGCTGGCTCGGGCGAAGCTGGGTCCGGGAGTTGGGAGCCGCTTCCGCCTCCATCTCCGCCTCCTGCGCCGCCCCCCCTCTCCGAGCAGCTCGGCTGCACCTTTGACTTGGACAATTGCGGCTGGAACGACACCGCGCCGGACGGGTACTATTGGACTCGCACCAGCGGCAGCACTCCATCGCCATACACAGGCCCGAGCGGCGACCACACCACCGGCTCGGGCGCCTACCTCTTCACCGAGGCCTCGTCTGGACGCTCCAACAAGCTGCACCAGCTCGAGAGCCCGCGCTTCTCGCTCCAGCAGGACGCCACCCTTTCCTTCTTCTACCACATGTACGACTCCTCCAGCTCGTACATGGGCACCCTCTCCGTCGAGACCTATAACAACGAGACGGGCTGGTCGACGCTCTGGAGCAAGAACGGCGACCAGGGCGACGCCTGGCTCGACGCGGCGGTCGTTCTGCCCGCGTCCACGATCAAGGTGCGTTTCAACGGTGAGACGGGGCCTGACTGGCCCTCGGACATGGCGCTGGACGACGTCTCCTTCTCGCGGTTTGCGCCACCGGCTTCGCCTCCGCAGCCGCCGCTCTCTCCGCCGCCCCTGTTGCCACCTCCCTCTCCGCTGTCGCCGCCCTTCCTGCCGCCACCGCCCCCTCCGCCGCCCTCTCCGCCGCCTCTTCTACCCGGCATGGTGCAGCTGGGCTGCGATTTCGAGGTCGACACCTGCATCTGGAACGACATCGCGCCGGACGGGTTCAGTTGGACACGCACCAACGGCGGCACTCCATCGTCCAACACAGGCCCGAGTGGCGACCACACCACTGGCTCGGGCGCCTACCTCTTCACCGAGGCCTCGTCTGGACGCTCCAACAAGCTGCACCAGCTCGAGAGCCCGCTCTTCGTGCTCCAGCAGGACGCCACCCTTTCCTTCTTCTACCACATGCTCGGCTCATCCATGGGCACGCTCTCCATCGAGGCAAACGACAACGAGACGGGCTGGTCGACGCTCTGGAGCAAGAACGGCGACCAGGGCGACGCCTGGCTCGACGCGGCGGTCCTTCTGCCCGCGTCCACGATCAAGGTGCGTTTCAACGGTGAGACGGGGCCTGGCTGGAGCTCGGACATGGCGCTGGACGACGTCTCCTTCTCGCAAATTGCGCCTCCGTCGCCGCCCTCCCCGCCCCCGTCTCCGCCCCCGCCCCCGCCGCAGCTGCCGCCACCGCCGCTGCCCCCGCTCGTCCCCGGCGAGGCTTTCGCCCACACGCCTCAAGACATCCGGGACGCGATCAACAAGGCCACGGCCGAGAAACGCAACGCGATCGTCTACGTCCCGCCGGGCGCCCGCCTTGCCTTTAGCAGCAACGTCGCGTGCAGCGGCGACATGCTCCTCTCGGTCCGGAGCAGCGGGGAGGGCGCGACGCTCGACGGCAAGAAGAGCTCCAACATGTTCTACATCTCGGGCGGCTGCAGCCTCTACCTGGAGGCGCTGCACTTTGTGGACGGGCGTGGTCAATATGGCGGGAATGGCGGTGCGGTGCTCGCTTTTGGCGCTGGCGACATTGCGACGAAGGACGTGTCGTTCACGGGCTGCGAGGCTAGCCAAGTGCGCCGCCCCTCTCTCCCACGCACCGCTCGGCCCCGCAAGCCCTCGCCACATTGGAATGCTGTGGATGCCCCCCCTCTCGCTCTCTGACGCCCTCCCCGCTTAATGCCTGCCCGCCCCAACTCGCGCAGCGCGGAGGAGGTATGTACGTGCTGAACAGCGGCGACGTCGCGCTGGATGGCGCCAGCTTCAGCGAGTGCACGGCTGATGTGCGTCTCCCACACCCGCGCACGCTTGCCTCCCCCGCACACGCACGCTCGCACGCCATTGCGGCGCCGGAAGCGGGAGAGGAAGGCAGAGGGACATGGTTCGGCAAACGGGAGACGCCTTCCCCAAAAGGGCCGCTCTGGGCCCTGCCCGCCCTCTCTCGCTCCCTGACGCCCTCCCCGCTTAATGCCTGCCCGCCCCAACTCGCGCAGGGCGGAGGAGGTTTGTGGGTGTACAACAGCGGCGACGTCGCGCTGGATGGCGCCAGCTTCAGCGAGTGCACGGCTGGCGATGTGCGTCTCCCACGGCCGCACATGCTCGCCTCCCCCGCACACGCACGCTCGCACGCCATCGCCGCAGCCAGAAGCGGGAGGCGAAGGCAGAGGGACAATGGGGTGGCGGGTCCCGCCTTCCCCAAAGGGCCGCTCTGGGCTTTGCCCCCCCTCTCGCTCCCTGACGCCCTCGCCGCTTATGCCTGCCCGCCCCAACTCGCGCAGTACGGAGGAGGTATGAACGTGTACAGCAGCGGCGACGTCGCGCTGGAGGGCGCCAGCTTCAGCGAGTGCACGGCTAGCTTTGTGCGTCTCCCACGCCCGCACACGCTTGCCTCCCCCGCACACGCACGCTCGCACGCCATTGCGGCGCCGGAAGCGGGAGAAGAAGGCAGAGGGAGATGGGGTGGCAAACGGGGACACGCTTCCCCCAAAAGGGCCGCGCTGGGCTTGCCCGCCCTCTCTCGCTCTCTGACGCCCTCCCCGCTTAATGCCTGCCCTCCCCAACTCGCGCAGGACGGAGGAGGTATGTACGTGTACAACAGCGGCGACGTCGCGCTGGAGGGCGCCAGCTTCAGCGAGTGCACGGCTAATGTGCGTCTCCCACGCCCGCACACGCTTGCCTCCCCCGCACACGCACGCTCGCACGCCATTGCGGCGCCGGAAGCGGGAGAGGAAGGCAGAGGGACATGGTTCGGCAAACGGGGGACGCCTTCCCCAAAAGGGCCGCTCTGGGCCCTGCCCGCCCTCTCTCGCTCTCTCGCCCTCCCCGCTTACGCCTTCCCGCCCCAACTCGCGCAGTGGGGAGGAGGTATGCTCGTGCAGAACTGTGGCGACGTCGCGCTCGAGGGCGCCAGCTTTGTCGGTTGCACGAGTGGCTATCAAGCGGTGCCGCGCGCCCCCTCCACAAGAGGGTGCAGAGACTGAAGCGGGAGACCAGACTGTGTTCTTTTGTAGGCTCTTTATCTCCTCGGTATCGAGCGCCTAGCTCTCACCAACTCGCAGTTTGTCGACAATATCGCGAGCCGAACCCCCGCTGCACTCTTCTTCACCTCCAGCGTCGCTACCTCCGGCTCGATCCTCCGCAACACGACCTTCTTCGGCAACTCTGCGCCAGGCAACATCACGATCCTCGCCGCCTCGCCTCTAACGTGGGACTGCCCGCTCGGATCTTGGATGCCGAACGTCGGCCAGATCATCGGCGACTTGCCCGGCTGCAACAGGCTCTGCGCCGAGGGTCACTACGGGGACGCGTCGGACCACTTCACCTCCGACTGCAGCGGCCCCTGCTGGCTCGGGCATTTCTGCCCCGAGGGATCCGTCCTCCCACAGAAGTGCCCCGCCGGCACCCACATGCCCAACGAGCGGGCCGCGAACATTTCGGACTGCTTCCTCTGCGCGCCCGGCCAATACCAGCCAGCGAGCGGCCAGGAGGAGTGCTTGCCTTGCGCCGCGGGTTCCTTCTCCCCCGACGTCGGCAGCGCCGCCTGCGAAGCTTGCCCGAAGGGCGGCGTCTGCGAGGACGCGGGCGCCGCCTCGCGCCTTGTCTGGCAGGCTTGCCCTGCGGGCAGCTTCAACCCAAAGAGAGGCTCCAGCTCGAGCGCGGCGTGCGAGCTGTGCCCCATCGGCACAGCGAGCGCGGCGCCAGGGGCGGAGAGCAGCGAGACGTGCGAGCCCTGTGAGCCCGGCCATTTCGCCGCCACGCCCGGCCTCGCCAAGTGCGAGCGCTGCTCCGCCGGATCCTACCAGAACGACACGGGCGCGACGGGCTGCCTTCCGTGCTTGGAGGGCAGCTACTGCGCCGAGGGCGCGGCGGCGCCGCTGCCGTGCGAGAAGGGCAGCTACTCGCGCGCGACCAACCTAGCCGCCGCCTCGAAGTGCACCGCCGCCACGCCGGGCCACTTCGCCACCACGGGCTCCACGCAGCAGACGCCGTGCGCTCCAGGCAGCATCGCCCCCTCGGCCAGCATGCCTGCTTGCGTGCTGTGCCCGAAAGGCAAGTTTGCTGTCTCCCGTACCGCTTGCGAGGAGTGCGAGGCGGGCACCTACGCGGCGAGCGAGGGACTCTCGCAGTGCACTCTCTGCCCCTATCCCCTCGCTAGCGGCAGCGGCGACGTCACCTGCTCCTTCTGCAAGGAGGGCTTCTACTTGAAGGACGCGAGCGCCGACTCAGACGACATCTTTGAGAACCCGACCAAGCACTGCAAGTCGTGCCCGCTGCACGCCAACTGCAGCGCCGGCACCGCCCTCCAGACCCTCGGCGTGGACGCCGGCTACTGGCGCGCCTCCGACGCCACCTCGGAGCTTCGCCGCTGTGACTCAGAGACGTGCTCTGGTAGCTCTGGCCAGCCCTCCCGCCACCGCCGCCTCACCGACGGTGATGACGACCCGTACTGCACCGCCGGCCACACCGGCCCGCTCTGCGAGGTCTGCGTCGCGGACTCGGACTACTTTAGCTCTGCCGAGGGGCGTTGCGTCGCCTGCCCCACGACGGCTCGCTCCGCCGGCATCTTTGTCGGCTTTGTCATCGTCATCGCAGCGCTCGCCGCCACCTATGCTGGGCTCCGTCACCTCCCCTTCTCCCGCCGCCTCCGAAGGCGGGCCACCCGCATCGAGTCCGAGGTCGGCTTGCAGCCCAAGTTCAAGATCGTCGTCGGCTTCTACCAGGTAAGCAGCATCCTCGGCCTCGTCTACGGCGTCCGCTTGGACGAGCACTTTACGCGTTGGCTCGACGTGCTCAAGCTGTTCAGCCTGGACCTGTTCGGCGTTGCCATCCCCGGCAGCTGCATCGGAGCCATGAGCACGCGGCTGCTCGTCGCAGGCCTCTGGCCGTACGCCGCTGTCGCCTTCGTGTCTCTCGCCATCGTGGCCGTGGTGGCGGTCCTCAACAACAAGCAGGCATTCGATCACCAACTGCTCGGCCGCCTCCTTTACTGGGCGATCCTCATCTTCTACCTCGTGCTTCCCTCCGTCTCGCGCTCCATCTTCAGCGCCAGGCTGTGCGAGTCCTTTGGCTACGACGACGCCACAGGCCAGCGCATCAGCTACCTGCTCGCCGACCCGTCGCTCACGTGCGACGCCGGCCCGACGTGGGACGACGAGACGAGCGGACTCGCGCCGTACTTTTGGGCCTTCTTCGCCCTCTGGCCCGTCCTCGTGCCGCTCGGCTTCTTGGCGCTGCTGCTCCGCGCCCGCAAGCCAGTGGCTGCGCAGCGTGCAACGCCGCTCTCCCGTGCGACGAGCTTCCTCTGGCGGGACTACTCCGCCCGCTTCCTCTTCTGGGAGGTGCTCGACCTGGTCCGCAAGATCTTCCTCACCTCGATGGTGCTCTTCATCGACCCGGAGTACGGCTCCAGGAAGCTGCTGCGCACTGTGGTCGCCGCCATCGTCTCGGCCATGTTTCTCACTCTGCTAGCGCTCGCCCGTCCCTACAAGCGCTCCGACGACCTCTGCCTGGCGTGCATCGCCAACCTGCTCCTGACCTGCTGCTTCGCGTCGGGGGTGGTCATCCAAGTCCGCGCCCTGTTGACACTTCCTCGCCGTCTCTCTCTCCCTCGTCCGCGCAACCTCACACCACCCGCTCCCCACCGCCGCAGCTCTGCGACAGCACCGAATACGAAGACATGTGCTACAACCTCGTCGGCTACAAGAACTCGCTCGGCGCCACCACCTTTGCCGTCGTCCTCACCGCGGTCATGCTCGCCGTCTCGCTAGCCGTCATCCTCGTATCGGCGGTCAGCGCTTCGAGGGCGAAGACCATGCGGCTCGTCTCGTCGAAGCGCGAGCCGATGCGCGACGGCATCACCCTCGCCGACAGCCAGCAGTGGCACCTCTTCCTCAGCCACGTCTGGAGCACGGGGCAGGTTTTGCTCACCCCCCTCTTGCCCCACGCCTTTGCATGTGCGGAGACGGTACCTGACTTGCCCTTCCACCCTTGTAGGACGCTGTCGCCGTCATCAAGAACGAGCTCCAGCAGTTCCTGCCCGGCTGCGAAATCTTCCTCGACATCGACGATCTCAAGAACATCGGAGAGCTGGAGGCGTACATTCGTCGCTCGCAGGTGGTGCTCTGCTTCCTGTCGCGGGGCTACCTGCGCTCGACGAACTGCTTGCGCGAGGTCCGCGCCGCGCTGGAGATGGGCAAGCCGCTCGTGCTCGTCCACGAGGCAGACCCGGACAAGGGCGGAGGCACGCTCGCCGAGCTGCGATCCGAGTGCCCCGAGGAGCTGCAGGCCGCCATCTTCGACGCCGGCTGGCCGATGGTGGTGTGGCATCGGATCGAGGCCTTCCAGCACGTCTCGCTCAAGATCATCGCCGAGGCGCTGCTGCTGAAGACGCCAAAGTACGCGGGCGAGACGGCGCTGCCCCTGTACATCTCGGGCGAGATCCGAGCCGACAGCCTCACCTTCGCCAAGCCGGTGGTTCTCTGGGCCTCGACTGTGAACGACGGGGCGCGAGGGCTGGCCGATGCGGTCGCGGCGGCCGTGCCTGACAACATCTCCATCACCGACGCACCGCCCTCGCTCCTTTCCTCGCTGCCTCGCGCGAGCGGTAGCAGCGGCGAAGAGGCGACGCATATGCTGCTCTACCTGAACGAGTCAACGTGGGCCGGCGATGGCGCCGAGGCGCTCGCAGAGCAGGTGCGCGCCGCGCGCGAGGCCAGGCTGCCGATCGTCATGGCGCACGAGAACGACGCCGCGCTCGGCGGCTGCATCTTTGGGCGCTTTTTTGAGGTGACGCCGCGCGACCTGCTCGCCGATGGGCTGTACGACGACCTCGCCGTCGGCTGCCACGCGGACCCGCACCGCCAGGTCTCGATCGCCCTCCTCGCACAGGCGCTCGGCGCGACCAAGCAGACGGCCCAGTCGCGCGTGCGCCGCGTCACCGCCCTCGCTCTAACGACCCGCGGCTCAACCTCTTCAATGACGGAGCCGTCGAACGGCGACGACCTTGTTGAAGCGTCAACGACGCAGGACCGCCAGATCGTCTGAGCGGAGGACCTCCCGCTGCACAGTCTCATTTGGATCATAGCGCTAGGAGGTAACGAGCCCCATGTACGACACCCCAGAGGGTCGACGGCAACCGCCGCACTAGTGTAACATTGCCGAGGCGCTACCGTACTGCCGGCTGCGAGGGCGGCTCGACCCCACGTGCCCACGGTAGCGCCTCCGAGCAACACGGAGCTCTCTGTTGGACGTTTTCAAGATTTCTAGCGTGTCAGAGAGTGAATTGGGGAACTAGCCATTGGTCTATGCACTATGGATGATTCGTAGCCACCTCACAAGGATATAATTACGGGGTGTGGAGGGTGAGTTGACCAGAGGTTGTGCGCTGGGCCCTCCTGCTCGGCTCCAGCAAGTAGACAAGTGTTGTCATCAACAGAGTAGAAGAATCTGACCTCAGGGCTGATGTGACCAAGCGCTGGTAGCGTGCTTTTACCTCACACCCATGGTCTCACAGTGTGCCGGCAGTCGTCGAGCAGTGTCGCTCACACAAGCCGCAGCACAAGTGACTGAGGGCCAGTGAGGGCTAGCCCATCGGTGTGACAGCTATGGCAGCCGCACAGTAGGCTGTGCCAACTGTGCAGAGCGTGTGAGCAGCAGAGGAGCTGCTCTCCAGGCTTCTGTCGCAAGGAGCTGCATGCCACCGAAAGCGCTGTCGAGGTTCGCCGAGCGCGGCGCAGGTTGGAGGACACCGTCACCGACGAGCGCGTTGGACTTTTCACTCCGGACAAAGACGGGTACACGCACACGAGCCGCGGTCGTATACCCGTCTTAGCGGCGAGGCGCGGGACCGTCTGTGGCGAGGTGGGTCGCGTCCTCCGATTTCCGTCAACTCAGCATCCACACCCTCTACCCGTATCTAGATACCCCCTGTATCGGAGTTATGGCACACTTAGGAGCTGTGAACGTGAAGAGAGTGGTACCAGAACTGTGGGTCGTTGCGGCACGCATGGGGGGCCTCCCGGACGTATGATCCTAGCCCAATACGTCCCACGGAGCACATTTCGATTTTTGACAGAATTAAATGCACTGCCCCCGCACGGTACTAATAGTCGTAGTTTTGGCACCGCTGCCCTTCACGGCACCACACCGCCGCTTGACAGCCCGGGATTAGCCTAGCAGCGAGTGGGCATCGCCTGCCGGTCGGCTGGGCACGAGCCAAGCACTTGGGCGGCCGTCAACCGAGTCCGAGCGGCGCCTGAGGCGGGTGCCACGGCGTCTGCACGAAGGCGTGGCGGGGTGAGGAGCCAGGAGTGGTGAACACCTCCCCGTCGGGCGCGCGGCGCGCCGGATGGTCCGCCGAGGCCGCCGCCGCCCCGGCGGCGGCGATGGGGGCGGCGGGGCCGACCCGGCCGGCGTTTGTCGGCTCCACCTACAGAAGAGCAGTCTCTGTGGGTCGACGATACTAACTCGGTAGTAACGCGGAGCGGTGCTGTGCGGCGCCGAGTTGTGCGCGAGGCGACCTTCTGAGGCTACCTGAGCTGGCAATGGATGCCACCAGGACGCACGGCTAGCAGGAGCCAGTCAGGCATGCCCTGCTGTGGAGCAGAGCCGGCTGGCGCACCGGCGATACTAACTCAGCGCGCCGCGAGAGGCGAATCTGGGCGACTTTGGAGGCGCAGTTCTCGAGCTTGCCGTCGACGATTGATGTCGGGTAAATTGTCACTGCCGTCCGGGAAAGGTATTCTCTCAGCAGGCCGAGCGCCGTGGCCCGGGCCTCGGCTCGCTGCGAACGCCGCGAATTTATCAGTGCCCAAAAACTCAAAAAAAAAAATGGGTTACT